AATGCTTTATAACTCTGGCTGTTATAAGTCCAGCCAGAGGTAGGCTGGCACTGCTTAACTTAGCCTTGGCGAACCTTTGATGTCAAGGCTTCAGACCCTGGCACTCGTAGGATGACTTGGGGCTAGGCACGCTACAGATGAATTCTGATTACACACCAGGGACTGTGTGGTCTAGGAAGGGGCAGGTATCTCCTGGCTGTGGTGTGTGGAGATAGTTTTGCTTGTGATTGTTTGAATGAGAATGGGCCTCATAGGCTCATAATACTTGGTCTCCAGTTGGTGGAACTGTTTGAGAAGGATTAGGAGTGTGGCCTTGTTGGAGGAAGCATGTGGGGGTGTGGGAGTGGGGGGTGGGTGTCGGGCTTTGAGGTTTCATCTCCAGTGTGCTCTCGCTGCCCCCTACTTTTCAGATGTGAGCTCTCAGCTGTTCCTGCTTCCATGCCTTGGCTCAACCATCATGGCCTCCAACCCTCTGTGACCTTAAGCCCGATGAAATCCTTTCTCTTATAAGTTGTCTTTGTCATGGTGTTTGTCCCAGAGACAGAAAAGTAATGGAGACACACCCTTAGCCTTAGTTTTGCCATCTATATAATGGGAGTGATTGTCCCTATCTTTTCCCACTGCTCATGGGTGTGACTCGGTGGAGAACTGGGAGAGGCACAGGTATTTTGCAAAGACCAAAGCCATGACTTGAGGCTGTGAACCCTGAAGGGCAGAGCCTGGCTGGCTTACCTCATGATTACAAAGTCCGTCTCAAGCTGACAGGATCTAACCTGGCCTTCAGTACCGTTCTCTCCAGCCTGGGGGTGGGTCATGAAGTAGCCTCTGAGGCTAGATTATTTGAGCAGTCTGCAGCCTAGCACAGGGGTGGGGGTAGCTGCGGAAGGTAGAAGGAGGCTGGGTGGGTGCCCTGAGAACATAAGCTGTCCAGAATGAGCAAAAAGATCTTGGTGTGTGTGGGGGTGATGTTTATTGGGTTCTCGGTGCCCCAGTGCACCCTGGAGGGTTTCATAGGTGGGAGGGGGTATCAGTTACTCCTGTGGGAGAGGGAGAAGGAAGAGAGGTGGAGGTGAAGAGCGCTAGGGAGAGTTAACTGTCAGGTGCTTCAGTCTTCAAGGCTGCACGAGCAGGGGCTGAGGGACAAGCCTTGGACTGTGATGGCATAGTGACCTGCGTAACTAGCCCTCAGCATGGCAGGATGGGTGGCTAGGCTCTGTCATTTCCACAGGAGGGAATCAGGAAACAGCTCCTTGTCAGGCGGAGCACACTTTTTGGTTCAGATTATTGATCATTGATGCATAGGCCTGATTGCTGCTTCAAGTTGGCCATGCAGGGCATGGCCATGGGTACTGGCAGGGTGCAGGACACCTGGGGTGACAGTGACATCAGGCACAGACACACAGGTTGGGGTGACGTAGGGTTCTGTCTGCATGAAAGGTGTCAGGGTTGCAGATGAAGTTTCTGTCCAGCCTGGTCCTGCTGCCCTTCAACCCCAAATAAACACACAGAGACTTACATTAATTATAAACTGCTTGGCCAATGGCTTAGGCTTCTTACTAGATAGCACTCTCTTAACTATTAACCCATTTCTATTACTCTGTGTATCTCCACGAGCTCTTGGCTTACCTGGTGATGTCCAGACCTCTTGCTTCCTCAGCAGCTACATGGTGTCTCTCTGGCAGCCTCACTCTCCTCTTCTTCCCAGAATTCTCCTCCTTGACTGGTAGCCCCACCTATATTTCCTGCCTGGCTACTGGCCAATCAGTGTTTTATTCATCAACCAGAAAGAGAAACATATATACAGAAGGTTATCTCAGGCACTTAAGACTGTTCTAGCCAGAAGGTGCTCAGTGACCTGGGGTCAAGGCCTAGTTTGCACCCATGTGATGTTGGTTGTGCCAACTTTAGACACCTGCAGCCATTTCAGGGTGAGTGACAACCAGGGTTGTGAGTGTGGGTGTGTAGGGAATGAGACACATCCAGAGTGAACGTTTGACATAGGCATAACAAGGACCCTTCAGCCTTATTGGAGTGGCAAGTCCATCCCTGGTGACGGCAAAGCCTCCCTCAGGTTTGAATGCAAATGCTGACAGTATGAGCAGAAAATGTCGCCAGTGCTCTCTCCACCCCACTGCAATGTTTGCTGCCTGAAGGCTGCTCTCCAGAGCCTGCCAGTCCTCTTGTTCAGCTGAGGAGATGGTAACCCCGCCTCCTTGCTTATCTCTGTGCAGCAATCATGCACCCCTGTCCAGCTGTTATAGAATAAACATTCCGTGCTGTGGCTTCAACATGGGAGCCCCCAGACCACCTGATCCCGGCTTCTCCGTGTCCACGTGTCTGTTGGTCCTTTGGTGTCTGTCCTTTCTCATTCCCTCAACACCTCATCGCCCTGGTCAGAGTTCCAGGACCCAAGCCCCCGGAAGGGTGATGCAGAAGTGGAGAAGCTAGGACTTTGTACTTACGGTGCCATGCTTTGCACCCTGCTTTAAGCAGAATAAGCCAAATAAGAGAACAAAGTCCATTTTCCTCATGCTTCTTGTTTTATTGTCAAATACAACACACATGAGGCAACATTTCTAAATCATAAATGTGCAGTATGCCCGGGGATGATAAAGCCAGTCTCCATGAGGCCATACAAATCACTCACATTAGGTGAGGCTCTCTAGAGGATCAGAGCTAGTAGAGTGTACTATTAGCCCAGCTTACACACCAGGGGCTGTAGAGCACAACAATGTCTGTGTACATGTGGGAAGGGTTGAGAACCCCGGAGCTGCTCAGTGTACAAAGCCAGATGCCTTAGCCATCCCAAACCAGTGCCGAAGGCCTGGAGTTCTCTGGAGAGCCTGCTCGCGTCTGAAGGCCTGGGAGACTGGGATTGTTAGTAGAAGATGGCAGCAGCAAACAGTGTCAGTAGATGCAATCAACCAGAAAGGAGGCATGAAGGCAGGCCCAGGTGTGCTGTCCCACCCTCAGACCTCTCGGTATCTAGGCTGCCTGCTGGAAAGCAACATCCACTCTGAGGGCAGAATAACCCCTTAGTTAATCCTCTCCAGAGAAGCACAGCCGCACAGCCGGAGGTGTGTCTCCTAGGTGGTTCGGTGGAACTCAGTGGGACTACCACGTCACCCAGCCCCAGTCCCTTCCGGCTGACGACTCTTCCTTGCCGTCCATCACGCCAGCACATTCCTCTCTAAGCAGCACTGGCACTGAGCAGTCCTGTGAGTGTGCATGTCCTCCATGCTGGGATTAGACTGATTACACTTATCTTCTTGTTCTTTTACTGTCTTTTTTTGTCCCAATGCTCAGCCCAGCTTCCTACCTGTATGCCTTCAGGCCTACAGGCATGAGGCTATGGACTGGCTGGAGTTCCGTGATCTCTGGTGATAATCTACAGCTTGCATAGCAACGGCTTGCTATACGATGCAAACATAGCTCAGTCTGATGAAGATGGGACATTTTCCAGTGTGGCTGGGTGCTGTGACCAATGCTTCTCTGAATACACTCATGAGCGAATACAGGTGAACCAGCATCACAGCTTCCAACGTTCCTTCTTAGGAGCTGAGTTACTGGGCCTTTAGGGGTTTGTGTCATTACTCCTTTTAGATAAGGCCAATCTGGTGGCTTTGTGGGGGCTGGGAGAGGGTACTGTTTTGATTTTCATGGACAATTTTTTTTTTTTTGAGTGGCTTTAGATTTACAGAAGAAACAAGTAAGAAGCACAGAGTTCCTGTTTGCCCGTTGACCTGATATCAGACAAAGTGGCTCACATAGGGCTCACATAGGGCTTACTCTCTGCCTGTTACATCCTATGGGTTTGACAAGTGCAGTGAAATGCCCCCCACCCCCCCATATCATACCAGATGGCCACAGCCCTAAAAGATTCTGTGATCTACCCTGTCTGCTTTGCCTTTTTAGAAATTAATTAGTGTGTTAAAAGTTTAAACAATTTATGCTGTGTGCCTATGTGGAGCCAAAGGATGACTTGCAAAAGTCTGTTCTCTCCTCCCACTATGTGGGTTCCAGCCACCAAACTCAGACTGTCAGCATGGTGGCAGGCACTGTGACTGGGCAAGAGGGTGCAGACAGAGGTCAGGGGCTGGAGAGATGGCTCAGTGATTAAGAGCAAGAGCATTGGCTTCTCTTCCAGAGGTCCTGAGTTCAAGTCCCTACAATCACAACCATCTGTAGTGGGGTATGATGCCCTCCTCTGGCATAAAGATGTACATGCAGACAGAACACTCATACATAAAATAAATAAATCTTTTTTTAAAAAAGAGGCTTAAAAAAAAGAGGTTACTCCATCTTGTATTCTTGCTGAGGCCATTCCAGGTTTGTTCTTTCCCCCCCCCCCAAGGTTTCTCTTTATAACAGTTCTAGCTGTCCTGGAACTCACTCTGTAGACCAGGCTGGCCTGGAACTCATCAAGTGCTGGGACTAAAGGCATGTGCCACCACCAACAGGCGCCATACCAAGTTTAATTAGAATTGTATCTCCTTGATGGAGAGTCCCAAGGAAAACTATGAAACTCTTTCTAGGTACCTGGGGGTCAGGATGTCTCAGTTAATTTAACTTCTGTTAAACTGACTGTGCGGAACCCCAAGTGCTCAAGGGATGTTGGTATATCCCTGAGTATCCAGAACATGGGGTTTTTAAAGGCAGAAACCACATCCTGGCACCTCGCTCAGGAGCTGTGTGTGTATGTGTGTGCGTGGGCGACAGGGGAGGGGAGATTAGGTACATTTTACATATGGGATTCATGTATTCTCTCCTTGATGTCTGGAGAACGGTCTCCAATAGCCACGTTTTCAGTTGTGTTTGTTACGTGTATAACAAACAGCAGGAAAGGAATCGTGAATAGCAGATAGAGAGAAGTAGCAGACAGATAGCAACACAGTATCAAATCAGGCCCTCAAAACATCCAGCAGGAACTGACCGGGAAACCCTGTTGAAACATAGCTGCGGTTCTGAACAGTAGAGCCGTCTCTCCTGTCTCTCTGCAGGTGAGCCTCTGGCGGCTCTTTCCCACTGTGGACAGCTTAATGCTACAGGATGAACAGCGGTAACCTCTGTTGGAGATGGTTTACCTTCTCGCTGTTCTCAGGGATGGTAAGTTTCAAACCCAGGGCATATTTACACATCATATCGGACTTGGCCACCAGGGTCTTCCAGCATCCCTTAGTCGCTGTTAGAATATAGCTGGCATACTTCTCACTCTCCCCAACTCTCCCCCAGAGGCTCTTCCCTATTTGGTTACTGTTCCATTTTGTACCTTTGGCCTCATGGCTGCTATACCTGGTTCTCTCAGCACCCTCGCCTACCCCCATATGGGCCAGCTCAGTCTGGTCATGTCCATTCTGGACTCTCCCAGAAGTCCCTGTCCCTGCCTCTGGCTGTGTTGTCCCTTTTATCTACAATGACCCTTCTCCTCCACCAAGTCATGTCCTTTCCTTTCCTTTTTCTTTCTTTTTTTCTTTCATCTGGACCCAGGACAAATGACTGAGGGGGCTTTTCAACAAGGAGCACAATGTTTTTTCTCTTGACTTCTCTGGTATCCTCTCCTCGCTGACACAGAGTTAGGCAGGCAAGTCCATGCCCGGACAAGAGGCCTGGAAGAACGCTAAGAAACAGACTTAGGTCTGAAACGGGGATGCCAGTCTGATTCCAGAGCAGCTTAGTGTGAGCTCTCACACACATGGCGACTTCCAAGACGAAGGACACTGCAGCTGGCTGGAGCCACTATTATTTTATTATTATCATCATTTAAACGCGAGTGTGTGTTCGAGCTCCCGTTGAGTTTCTGCACATCACATGCATTCAGGAGCCTGCAGAGACCAGAAGAGGCTTTGGATTCCCCGGCAACCAAATCACTGGCTTTGGTGAGTCACCAAGTCTGGGTTCTCTGCAAGAACTGTGAGCATCCTTAACCCCGGAGCTGTCTGCCCAGCCCCTGCTGGAGCTTTTGGACTGTGCTGCATCATGCCTCCTTGATGCCAAGGCTTTGCTGGCTGTGTCTTTGACCACTGTATGGATGGGGACTTCCTGGGAGTGCTACTGAATTCATTAACCTTTCTCTCTCTCTCTCTCTCTCTCTCTCTCTCTCTCTCTCTCTCTCTCTCTCTCTCTCTCCCTCCCTCCCTCTCTTTCTCCCTCCCTCCCTCCCTCTCTCTCTCTCTCTCCCCCTTTCTCTCTCCTTCTTTAAAAAGCTGCGCCCCACTAGGGAAGTGATGCTCAGCATCCCTGAGGCTTGCCTGCTGCAGCATGTCACCTTGGACCTCCTGCTGCTGGAGGTGTGAGCTGAGCCCTTCCCCCCATGCTGGCCAGTGGTTATTGTTGAAAGGAGGTCTGTGCCCCAGAGTGCCACTGGCCTGCCAAGGTCACAGAAGAAGTGGCAGCGATTTCCAAGTCTTTGTGTGGCTCCCTGTTATGTGTTATGTATGTTCCCTGCCTGTCCTCATGCCAATATCCCCTCCAAATGGCTTTAAAATGAGCTTGGGTCTCCAGCACGCAGGTTTATCCCCACTATTTATGTTTGTGGTGCTGTGGTGGGAAGCCTCTGCAATTCTCGGGATATTTGAGAGTTAGTTTATTCAGCCCTGCCCCACCCCTGTGGGATCTTGGTTGGAAGTGTATTGAAATGAAGCAGCCTGGGGAGAAATGACCTCTTCACAATATCCTAGCTTCTAACATGTGACCACATGGGAGGCGGCTTACTATGTTGCCCAGGCTGACCTTGATTTTGCAATGAACTTCCTGCTCCTGCCTTCTGAGTGCTGGGATCACAGCGTGCACCACCACACTTGTTCACGTGGTGTGGGGGGATCGAGCCCAGAGCTTCATGCATGCTGGGTGAGCACGCAGCCAACTGGGCTGCACCTCCAGCCCCAGTTTCAGACACTGCTATTTGATTCGTTTTGAAATCTCTGACACATTTTATGGTTTTTCAGTCTCTTGCAGATACTTTTGAATGTTTTGTCTTTTGAACTTAGTGAGCATTGCAACCATATCTTGTCGGTCGGAATCCCCCAAACTTTATGTCTTTGAACATCTGTTCCTACTGTCACTTCCTTCCTTCCTTCCTTCCTTCCTTCCTTCCTTCCTTCCTTCCTTTCTCCTTCCCTCCCCCCTTCTTCCTTTCTCTTTCCCTCCCCCCTTCCTTTTTTCCTTTCTTCTTCCTTCTTATCCCCCTTCTTCCTCCTCCTCTTCCTTCTTCTTTTTCTTCTTCCTCGTTCTTGGTTGAAGAATTGTGTGTGTGTGTGTGTGTGTGTGTGTGTGTGTGTGTGTGTGTGTGGTTATCTGCCCACACTAGACATTGTATTTGACAAAGCACTTATGAGAATGATCTGAGCTTTAGGGTGACAGCATCTCCCTTGGTGACCTTTGTGCCGCTGACCACATGCCTGAGAAAAACAGTGTAAAGGGAGGAATTATCTGTTTCGGCTCACAGTAGGAGGGTTCAGCCCAGGGTGGTGGAACATCACGGTAGTGAAGGAAGTGCTCATCTTTGGAGACAGGAAGCAGCGAGATGGAAGGGGCCCAGGCCCCACCTCCTCTGGTCTATTTCCTGTGCTGAGGCCTTCTTAAGTTTTTAGAACCCCAAATAGCACCATCACCTGGAGGATCAGCTTAGAAGCCCTTGAAGGGTCATTTACATCCAACTCATTCACAGCATTTCTCTCTAGAACTGACACTGGACCTATTTTTTCTTTGGGTACTGGGGGCCTTGGTCCAGGCTGACCCCATGTAGAATGACTAAAAGCAAAGTTCAAACCAAGAAGTTCCATGGAGGCTGCGATGGTTGGCACAAGGACTGATTGGCTTCTGACATATAGTGATGGATCTACCCATACGGCAGATTTCCAAGCGTCTAGTGCATCACTGACATAGCACTGGAGAATGCCAACAGCAGCTTCTGGAACCAGTGAGTTAGCTCCAGCCACGCTGCTCCTGCCTCACCTGAGGTGCAGGGTCCGGTCAGTGGGACAGTGTTGGCCAGGCACAAGGAGCTTTGCGTTCTGGGTTTCCCAGCAGGCTCTGGCTTCCCCTGAGTTCTGGGCCTGGCATCAAAGTCAGACTTGTTCCTTAGTGTTTTAGGGACAATTGGAGCTCTAAGTCCAGCTTTGGTGGCTGTCTCCAGTGGCCTCCTGGCCTGACACCCTGCACAGTTCTATGCACAGTTGCTTCTATTTCCTGTGTGTACACAGCATCCATTGCCGCAAAAGCTGATGGCATAGAAGAGAAAAGGGGGGCATCTTCAGGGCTGCTGCACCCCAATGAGTGGACTGTTTGTGTTGGGTAATTCCTCTCCAGTCTTATTATTTCTATACCTAATAGCTGGTGCTATGAACCAAATGGGCACAAGTGTGGCCGTAGAGACCAGCCAGTCACTCTGGCTCACAGCTATAAAAAGTTGCCCAGCCTCTCTGACCCGAACTTCGGCTGTCAAAGGAACTGAGCCCTGCTTTCTCCAGCTGTTGAGGGGAGCCGAGTGAGGACAGAGTTGCCTGTAGGCTTCGAGAACCCTCCCGGCACTGCAGCTGCAGCTGCGTCCATCGTAAAGGGCCATCCTGCCGTCCTGGATTCCAGGGATCTGGCCAGCTGTCGGCCTCTTTGGAATCTGGGTTTATGGGGAGCCCGGGCCTCATAAATGTCAAAAGAATGCATTCTCGGCAGCCCAGGAATTGGAAAATGTGTCTCTGAGGGGAACATTCCTTCCACCCTGCACAGCTGCTTGGCTGCCGTTTTTATCCTTGGGCCATAATTAGTCCTCTCCTTTGCCCCTGGATTCTTGCTTGGGTCAGAAACACACGTGTGTGTGGCCCCCAGCACCATGGTTCCCTGATTCTGTGCCCTTCGGCTACTCCAAGGCCACAGCAGGTGAGAGAGCCGGAGGGGGGCAGGGCAGGAGAGCACTGGAGAAGGAAAAGGGCTGGCTTTGTGAGAACTGGAAACAGCAGACACGGTGGGACTCTGAGGCTTCAAGGGGCTTGAGCTCCCAGCCTTCTCTGGGTCCTTTCTGCTGGCTTGGGATGAGAGCAGACCACAGGACCCCACCAGCCCAAGGCACAGGCTTTCCCTTTCAGGGCGATGGCTTCTGCCCACAACAGAGGTTCACTAAGAACTCTGTTCCTGACAACAGATGACACCTTCCAGTTCACAGGGATATGGGTTCATCCGGGCCTCTCTGTGATCACAGGAAGCAGACAGAACAGATCAGGAGGCTGAGGTCTGTGTCTGTGTGAAGAAACATTGGTGAGGGGGACATTATCCCTGGTCTCAGTAGTGGGCAAGTGAGGGGCATTTTCCACAGTGTTCTGGAGAGCAGGTGGGACCAGTCCCAGGGTGAGCCCAGGACAGTCTGTCACTAGATTTCCCTGGCCCTCCTCCCCTTAGCTGACAACGGCTATGGATGGCCACTGCCTCATAGCCACCCTTACCTGGCCCCCTTCCCTAGTCTGCTTTGCCAGGCAGAGCCTGGACATAGCAACAGTGTAGGCGGCAGTAACAGTCACTACTGAGTGCAGAGATAGCTCTGAGCATGGCCATCATGGGCCCAGAGGTCCCCCACTGTGCAGGAGAGGACAGATGGGATGCTGGCCAAGGAGCCATTTCTGGTCTCTTCTTTGGGGTGCTACCTCAGAGAGTGGGGGTACTTGTGATGAAGACTGTCTTCCTGGACTTCTTTCTGGCTGGGGCTCAGGAACAGTCAGTCACAAGGAAGGGACTTGAGCACACTACGGTGTGCAAGGTGATACGGTAGCTCTAGGCACCCAACTGAGACAGCCCCTTTAGGGGGTCTGTAGCTGTGCATGTCCTGACTGGAGTCTATGTGCCAGCTGCTTGCTAGGCCAGAGTACATGAGTATGAGCTGAAGTGTGAATGTCCAGGGAATGGCAGATATCTGAGGGTGACTCTGTTCTGGGACTGTGGAATAGGAGCTTGTTTGCCCAAGGCCTCCAGGAGCTGTGGACTGGGGCTGTGCAGCCCAGCAGAGCACAGGTCAGTAAGGTCTCATCCTCAATGGGGCCTAGGTATCTCTTTCTGGAGAGCCAGGCCTGGCCCTGGGGCTGTGTGCCTGGGGCATGAGAGACCTCAGTCCTCGCTGTGTCCCTGACTCCCAGCTCTATCTGCTGTCATGGAGGTAGGAGGAAATGGCTGGAGAGAGCAGAGAACCTTAGCGGAGGTGCCATTGGGCTGGAGAAATTGAGGCAGTAATTGCATAGATCTCAGGCATTCAAATGCAAGTAGGTGCTCGCCAGCTTTTCCTATGACCCCACGGTAGCATGGGGAGGAACAGGGTTCTAAGAGTGGGGGTTACCCAAGCTGCTGGCCTGGGCAGGGCAAGGGTAAGGAGATGGGGTTGTTATCTGGGCTCCCAGCTGCAGAGAGAGGAGACTTTGCCACTCAGCATTTTTTGAGGGTGGGGAGGAAGAATAAGTCACAGCAACCTGATTTGCAATGTTATCTGGTCTTTTGTGGAAGCCCTGCCCCTCTGAAAAGCCTGGGTAAACTCGAAGGCCACATGAACACAGCCATGGCCCGAGGTCTGGGGTGATGTTGGAGTCAAGGTTATATGCTGGGGCTTGAGCCATCTAAGTGGCCTGCACTGCTACCTGGGGCAATGGTGACATTCAGACCCTGCTACTGCAAAGGACCAGGTCTGGGTCCATGGTCCTACCCCAGCTGCGGTCTGTGCTGAAGTCTGAGTTCTGTACTGCTACCAAAGGGCACACAGAAGCCCACGGTTGGGGCTGTAACCTGAGGCCTTGGTGGTGTCTGGGGCCATACTGCTGCCAGAACTATCCCAATCTGAGTGGCCAGTGCTTCCACTCAGAGCCAGGTTGTCGTCAAGGCCCAAGCTGCTGCCAAGGGCCATGTC